CAAACCGGTGTGCACCGTTTTGCTACGGTTTCCGGTTTGAACGACATGTTTCCTGGAAACGGTGTGCAACGGTGTGCAACCGGGTTTGAGATGCGTTTTCTCTTGTTTGGTGGGTGTGACAAACATATCAGCCCAATCAGCAGCAACATGTATATAAACCACGCGGTATTAAAGAGAGAGCTCGCACAATGTAATTAACATCAAAATTAATTTACAAGAGCAAGTATATTGTTTGCACATGTTTATTTACATTAAAGGCAAAATAACTAAAATAATAAGAGACCGATTTCATCAGGCTCCAAAAATTATTCAAAAAGAACACAAAGAATAGCCTTCTCAACTGCCATAGTTGCAACTCTTGCGTCATCAGAACAGTGTGTTCAACGCACCACCGTTTCCGTTTAAAAAACATTTTGCCCAAGGTTTTTTCTCCATTCTGTCTTTTGGTTCCTTGCCACTGTCGCCTCTGGCTTGCTTAGTTGGGGACACTTAATTTCCAGCGATATCGTCGACTTGATTGCACAGAGACTATTTAAACTGAACTGAGCTGGATTATGACATCACTGAATTCAATGATGAACTGCCTTTAACTGAAAATTGAGTGTTTTACCATTATCACTTTGCATTATTGACACAATATTTTCCTAATTAATGCTGTTCAGTTGCTTTGACACAATCTGTATTGTTAAAAGCGCTATATAAATAAAGGTGACTTGACTTGACTTGTTTGTGTGTGTGTGCTAGAGCTGTGCAATTAATCGAAATACAGTTTCGATTTCGATCTCCAAAGATTATGAAAATACAATAATTGAGAAAATACAATTATTGTGCCCTATTTCACCCCCTTTCTAGCGGTGCGCTTTCGCTCCTCCATATAAGCCCAATTGTATGTGCAAATCATATAACGTGACTTTTGCAAAATGGGACATGCTTTATTTATTTGTTGACTAAATGTTTTTAAAAGCGCAAAAGAGAACTCGCGCTGTTCCTCTGGACTTCTGTGCATGCGCTCCGACACGGAAAGGAACACGGACATGTATAAATTCCTCTTTTAGCTTAAGGTGCGTGCCTAAACTGTCAAATACATGCAAAATGTGTCCAAATGCGCGGCACTTGGTGATTACTGACATAAACAATTGTCGGCTATGTCTTAAGTGAACGTAAACAGTTGAGAATGAAAAAACGTGTGTAACAGTAAATTGGATCCATGTGGCTCTTAAAGTGACAGCAGGCTATTTCTGCTGCTGACTGTGTGCTTCATATTAATCAAACAACAAAAGACCGAGAAAATCACTCACTGCTCTTAGCTGAAGGAGTTTTTTAGGTTTATATACACCCAAATTACAATGTGTGTTACGTCTTTAAGAAGCATTTACATAAACTTAACTAACCAACCTTTGCACAAATGTTGTTACAGCAGCTAAAAGTCCAATACCCATAAAGGTACTGAATGATTATCAAACATTTACAAATAGTTTCAACTTTAGATTGACTACTGCAAAAACATGAACAAATAATAAATAAATGATTTGTTAAGATGTGAAAACAGTAGAAGTCTACACAACAAACGAAGACCAAATATATGTTCTTTACAGACTGTGATTATGAGTTAATAAACAATATGTTAACATGAATAGTTCAGTGAATAGTAAAGAGCTTAAAATGACTGATTAAGCTCATTTTTCACAACATTTGTAAATGTGAAAAAGAGCATTAGGTAATATGTGAACTTAAGTTTAATGACATTTGTTAGCATTCAAAAGTACATTAACAAATAATCTTGTCATCATTGTATAATTTCCGTTAAAAGTATTTGTAGATTTTTTTTAAAGGGCATGATCATATGAATCGAAAGTTTAATGATATTTGTAAGCATTTTAATTTACATTAAATGATCTGTTAATCATTAGGTAATTTTGAATAAGTACATTAGTAAACATTAACAAGCACATTTTCTCATATTTCTAGCTATGTATAGCAATATATATCAACTAATGTTCTGTTAAGCATTAAATAATGTTTGTTAATGATTTATTAATAAAATATATTATAAAGTGTTACCTTTTTGGCATAATCAAGCAGCCCTAGTGTGTGTGTGTGCGTGTGATTGTTTGTAGACCTACACTTTTGTAGTCCTGCTGTTATCATGATCTCTCCCCCATGATCCACACTATAAACAAACAAACATACATTAATGTTGATATGTATCATGCACAGACATGTTCAGTATGTCAGTATAGACTGCTGCAGGGATGACATTGTGACCCACTCAAATAAAAGAGTTGATTGATTGATTATTTCTGTCAATATTTCTGATGTTTGAGAATATTTTTTTCTGTATTCACATTCATATACTGTATGTATTTTTTATTCCATACTTAATGCATAGAAGGTTTGGGCATGTAAAACAAGTTTATATATATATATATTCTTTCTTTAAATATATGCCTGAACTGTTTTATTGCGTTAGCTCATGAGATTGGAGGATGTAGTGTGTATTCGATGAGGTCGGACTGTTTCTTCACATCGAGGTTGTTTTATATTCGTGCCACGAGGGAGCGATGCGTTGGATTTCACTACGGATGGATTGCGCAATCAGAGGGCTTGTTTGTAAGGAAGGAAAATTGTCTTCATTGTTCATTCTGGCGAGGATTGACTGAACTGAGTCAAATAAATTCCTACTTTATTCAGGACTTCGGTATTCTTATATATATATATATATAAAATCTTTTGTCACTGTTTGGACTATTTTTTTTTTCAGTTGTAATTGTTGATTGCCAGCTTTATTGTTAAAGGGCTGCATTGTACTCAACTGACTATATATATATATATATATATGTAACCGGAATGAGCTTGCTATGCCTTTAAGGGGTAGGTGACGCGATAGGACAGGTGATGTTTAAAGTCTCGCGGGCTTCAATGAAATGGCGTTTGTTCTCGTTCTACGCTCGATGAACGAGTGTGAGTGTGGTTTGCTCTCCTGTATTGGCGCATTGGAAGAACTGCTCGTGTGTGTGATTGCTGCTCTCGACAATTTAGCGTGAGTAAATATGCTTTTATGCATAGGAGTTGAATGTAATGATGTTAGTATAATATGCCCGCTAATGTGTTTTAGGATTATTTCCGTGCTGATGACCTGTTGATCCGAAAACGCGGTGTGCGTGCAACTCCGCGGGGTTTCAGCTAAATTTGGCCGACATTCCTAACAGCCATATATTTGAGGTCACATATGTTTTTATTTTTTTTTGCAAACATATTGCAATGCAGTTAAAGTGCAAAGATACAGAAAAGTGCAGACATGTCATAAACAATTTTTTAATGTGTTTATTATATAATATCTGATGATTCAAGATGGCGGCGCGTTCACACGCTGCGGCTTCTCTCTCTCCCGACAGAAAGGTGTTTTCGTGTTTTTTGTCTTGTGAGTCGCAGTGTTTTTGTACGTATTCGTCGCGTCTATCTGTCTCGAAGCGCGCATACAGTCGTGAGTTTCTGCTCGATGTCGGCAGAACCACATTTTTAGAGTTAAACTCTGCGCACGCCGAAGAGCTGCGGGATCTCAGCCTGCTCCGGAGGCCCACACCATCACCGACCCCCACTACTGCATCTCGCCCACAGCGGAGGCGCCACAAGCGGCGTGAGAGGAAGCAGAAGAGGGGTAAGCGCGGAGGTATCCGGGCTAGGCTAGCGGCTAACCCACACAAGCCAGCTAATTTAATCTGTATATCTGTATTTATGTTCTACTGTTAGTGTTATCTGTATGCACCAAGGGTCTGAGAGTAACGCAATTTCAATTCTCTGTGTGTATGTGCTGTACATGTGGAAGAATTGACAATAAAGCAGACTTGACTTGACTTGACTTGATAAGACCCTGAACCCGAGCCTCCAAATACCATTATAAATAGAGCTTTATCCGTGTTTGGTGAGCTCAGACCCAGTAGATATTTTTCCTCCTTTTCATTGATATAAATCTGTCAAATGGGTTAAAGAATAGAGAGACAACAATATGACGCCCAACGTGGGGCTGCACTTGTGATCAATTTTATAACTTTTTATAACTGCTTTGAATAAATTTTTTTCTACCGATATAATTTTTTTTATATTGTTTTTATTATTATTATTATTATTATTATTATTATTATTATTTCCTCTTTTCCTTTCACCATGGATCTGTGCAAGCAACATAATTTTGATCCTGGGAGGTCCGTAATACTCACAAAGGTAAATCCAAACACTACTCTCACAGAAGTGAGGAGATTCTTTGACCATCTTGATGAGGTGAAGAAAATAGAGGGGTTAGGTGTCAAATCCTCAGGGGAGCTTCTCTGTGAATTTCAGGAGGTTACCACCCCATTAATTGCCGAAGAAGAATATTTGAATGCTGGCAGCCAAAATGTATGGGGCGTTGTAACACTAGATTGTAGACAGATAAAAGATGTTCGGCATCACTTGAGTGCTCCCACACCAATACAGAGAGATTCAGTTCAACCCTTGGATGATATGGCTGATCAGCTGTTGGCGCAAATTGAAAAATTGAAAAGCCAGCAGCTGGTGACTAAGCTTGCACACAAGGCTGATAATGTTGACAAGGGCCCTATCACTTCAAACCCTGTTACAAGAACATACTGTGATGCAAAGCCTCGAGTGAGGCAGACTTTAGCTGCAAATTCAGCATCAAAAGTGTCATTTGCAATTCAAGATGATTCAATCCCGATGGAAAGGAACTTGATGCATGAAACTCTTCTCCCCCCTGCTCTTAATGTTGCCCTTGGGGTAGGTATCAATGCACCACCAGAAATGTATGCGCTGGAGCTTGAAAATGCCTATGGTAGTGTGACTGGTGGAGACGAGCTGTACATTCAGTTTATAGAGACGCACCAGAACGGGGTGGAAAGCCCTTTGATTATTTAAGATGACTCCATTCTCTGATGCAGGAGGTGGTTGAAAAGAAGGGAGTGGTTGCAAACATTCTGGCACTACATCTCAAACAGTTCATTAGAGGGTGCTGGGATGAAGTTCTGATTACTCGGTTGCGTCTTAAATATTTGTCAACAGACTTGTCACAATCTGAAATTACCTATTCTAGCTTGCTTTCAAAACTGAGGTCTTACGAGCATGAAAAGCAGCTTAAAGAGAAATGTATGAATCCATGTAACTGTCGACCAGGGGTGCGGAGCAAACCCTGAGGAGGTGCAAGACAGTATGGCATTGACGAGATGTATAAAAGTGCTTGAAGCTGAGGTGGCAAAAGCTAAAGCACAGAAGCCAGCCTCAGTGAATAAACAGGTGTATGAGCAATTCCAGGCCAATGGGCCCAAGAAGAAAAGAGGCAAAGAAGGGAAGCCATCATGCCCTGTGCTTCAAACTCAACCTAAGTCACTGTCTATTGGTGGGTTTTGCTACCACTGTGGTGAGGACTCTCATTTTTTGCAATTCATTCACTGCACTAAATCTGTGAATGCAGCCTTGGTGCAACAAAAGTTAGTGCAGAGGCATGAGCAGAGGAGTTCTCCCACCAAAGTGATGGCGTCCATCGTGCATTTAAACTTGGAGTAGCTTCTGTTGTGGAATGAACAGAAGCTGTAGTTGCGAAAAGTTCCATAGAAAAGTGTAACCAGATTCCTAATGGTCTAATCGGGGAAACTTGGGAAATTAAAGTTTGGTTGGATGGAATTGAGTGTCACTGTTTAATCGATACTGGATCCCAGGTGACTTGTGTAGCCGAAGCTTTCTACAGGCAGTATTTACAACATAGGGGCATTACCCCTATGGGAGACCTACTTCGGGTTGAGGGAGCTGCGGGACAAATTGTTTCCCAATGGGAGTGCTCGCTGAGTGTTCAGTGGTGGACTGGATTAAATCTGTGCCTCTTTTTGATGATATTGGAACTTCACATGCCACCACAGCCCTGATCTTTTGGCAGAGACGGAGGATCCTGTGACTCTGGATTTTGGCGACTCTCCTATTTCTGATAGTTCAAAGCTCACATCATTGAAAGAATAAGCCGGGAAGTGTCAAGTGTGTTCGCCAAACATGATCTTGATGTGGGACGTGTCAGGTGTAGCACATCAGATAGAGCTGATTGACCACGTTCCTTTCAAAGAGCGTACCCGTCAGGTCTCACCAGCTGATTTTGGAGATTTGAGGAAACATCTGCTAGATTTGCTCACTAGTGAGATAATTGATGAATCTAACAGTCCTTACGCTTCCCCAGTTGTACTGGTGAGGAAGAAAAATGGAGATTTGAGAATGATGATCAATTATCGCAAACTCAATAAACTGACAAAAAGAGACTCATAACCTCTCCCAAGGATTGAGGAGACGTTTACTTTGTTGTCAGTCTCTAAGTGGTTTTCGGTCCTAGATTTAAAGAGTGGATACTACCAGTTGGAGGTAGAAGAAAGTGACCATCCCAAAACGGCATTTACTTCGCCATTTGTAAATTGTCAATTTCTTTACCACAAGGACTGACAAATTCTCCTGCAACGTTTAAAAGAACCATGGAGAAAGTCATGGCTGGTTTGAATTTGCAGGAAGTCATAGCTTTTCTTGATGACTTAATTTTTTAAGACACATTTGAACAGCATGAGGACAGCTCATGAAAGTTCTCCAATGGATTTCTGCTTTTAAACTGAAGTTGGCCACTTCCAAGTGTAGATTTTTCCAGACCGAAATTCAGCAAGATATTTCATCCTTAGTGAAGGAAGATGCTGATGTGTCAGTACAGCATGATGAGTTGAGTGATGAAGAGAGACATGATTCTCTTGTTGGGTTGAGAAGGTCCCAAAGAGAAAAGAGACCCCCAAGTAATTTGATTTGTGATTTGTTGTTTAGCCTAATGGGTCAGGCAGTTAATTAAGTATCTGATGAGAACATCAGAGTTTTGAGCAGAGGAGGATGTAACCCACTCAAATAATAGAGTTGATTGATCGATTATTTCTGGCAATATTTCTTGTTAAACATGTTTGTACACTCGTTTTGTGGAAATGAGGTTGTAATTTTAAGTTATTAATGTTATGTGAAGTTAATCAGTGGTTGCTGAAGTCACTTGCGTGCCAGCTCGTGGTGAGAGATGCGAGTCGCATTTTGGCTGTCACTAAATTTTATCCATCCTCGTGATTCTTTCTTTAAATATATACCTGAACTGTTTTATTGCATTATCTTTTGACTAATAGGTAGTGGTGTTAACAAATTAATGTGGTGTGGTCAATGTGAGTTTGGTGTAAATATTTCCAAGCTTTGTAGCCTCAATACAGCTTCACATGCAGTTTGGCACCATGCCATCAAATTCATTCATGCACTAAACGATAAGCGTTTCTTATATTGACATGAAATCCATAACTTTTTGTCGGCATGGTCTGAAGATGATCAGGGTCAAATTTGTTGAAAATCGGACCAACAGCCTAAGAGGAGTTCAAAAAAGTATGTTTTCAAAGAAAATCAAAATGGTAGACCCACTGCAAAAAAAAAAAAAAAGAATTTCTTAATTAGTATTTTTGACTTGTTTTCTAGTACAAATATCTAAACATTCTTGTATCAAGATAAATGTAGTTGAGAAGCAAAGCAACTTTTTATTAAATCTTGTTTTCTGAAAAAGGTATCATAATTTTGTCAGTTTGTGCTTAAAACAAGGAAACATATCTACCAATTGTGCAAGAAAAATAATCTTAATTCAAAGGGAAAACAAGATTTTTTTTTTGCTCTATTGACATATTTTTCATCTTTTGAATGACATATTGACACCAAACTTTGTATGTGCCATTGTCACCACATCAATTTGACAACAGCGCCACCTATTGGTCAAAAGTCATAAACCATTCATATGAAACTATTAACTATTAATAATGAACTTTCAATAATGTTAATAGCTTATAAACAATGTTGCCTCTTGTCATGTGACTGGTCTTGTTAGATTCCTTGGATCATGTTGAGACCATAAATACTAATTATTCCATAATCAGCTGAACTTACTGTCTGCCATTTTGATTAACGTTGGAAACCTACTTTTTCAAACTTCCCCTATACCGTTGGTCCAATTTACATTAAATTTGACCCAAATCATCTTTAGACCATGCCAGTGAAAGATTATGGATTTCGTTTTGAAGGTTTTTGATAAAAATTGCATCTGAGGCTGTATCTCTGCAAAGCTTTGATGTACTGGCACCAATCTTTATGTGTGTCATTGTCACCTCACACTGACCTCACCACATCAATTTGGTAACCGCACCACCTATTGGTTAAAAGTTAAAAACCATTAATACGAAATTATTAACTCTTAATAATGACATTTAAAATAAAGCTAATAGCTTTTAAATTATTTTGCCTTTTGTTATGATACTGGTCTTGATAGATTCCTTGGATCATGCCGAGAACATCAATATAAATTATTCCGTTATTGGCCAAACTTCCTGTCCGACATTTAGATTGAGGTTGAAAACTTATTTTTAAACGAAATTTTCTCTAAATTGAACTTAGATCATCTTCAGACCATTACAGCAAAATGTTATGGATTTTGTGTCGGTAGGTGAAATGGTTTTCATTTGCCGCGTCAACAAATTTGATGGCATGGTGCCAAACTGCATCTGAGGCTGTATGTCTGCAAAGCTTTGACATATTGACACCAAACTTTGTGTGTCATTGTGACCTCACACTGACCACACCACATCAATTTGGTAACACTGCCACCTATTGGTCAAAAGTGATAAACCATTAAATCATATTACTATTGATTGTGTTTATGATTTTTTTCAGCCATTTTTACTAAAATCATCTTAAAATGTCTTTAATTACTCGTTGCGTTTGGTCTGATACTTGCAGCCATGTTTACTCCTCATTCTGCTTCTATTGTGCTTGGCCCTTTAATTGCTGCTTGCAGCTATATTCTTCTTCCGCTCAAGTCTATGGCAGCCCATAGAACTTCTTGCAGGAAAGTTATGAAATTGTGCACTCAGATAGGGGACAGTCCCAACTTTTACCATAGCAAGTTTGGAGTCACTAACTCAAACCACCAACAGTTCAAAGTTGCACTCATGTTTATGCTAATATCTTTTGATCTGTAAATTTTAGAAGTAAAATTCTTTTTCCTCTAAATTCTTGGTTCATGTCGAGTCAACAAAATGTAAATTTCTACAGGTCAAATTTTTTTGCAATTTTTAATGCCAACTTTTTTGAGCTCATCCTAGATGCTCATCCGATTTTCACCAAAATAGGCTCAGATGATCTTCAGACCATGCTGGCAAGTTGTTTAGTCAAACCATTTTCAAATAATGTGTGAATGGATTTGGAGAGCATGCCAAAATGGATGTGAGGCTATATCTCTGAAATGTTATTAGGTGCTTGGCCCCTAACAACAAAAATAACAGTGTTTTTCTTAGTCTTATTAAGTACAACCATAATCGAAGTACTCTTTCAATACTCAAAGTGCAAACAGAGACCAAATTTTTCTTCAAGCATGATACAGAGCTAAGAGATTGTTATAACTACACAGCCCAGCCTAAGATAGGTTTGATATTGGGGAGCTGCTCTCAAAATGCGGGGTATTGAAATCACTTTTGAATGCATGCTTGCATTTGACTTTTGTTTTCAAATTTGTGAGCAGCAGTGCTGAATGTGCATTCTACAAGATAAAACATTTTTCAGACATTTTTCCATGGCCTTATCAGTCATCTTGCTTTACTGTTGTCACATAATCAGTGAACTGTAATTCCTGCTGCACTGTGCGCAACTCGTGCTGGATGAACAGAGCAGACGCTTTCAGTTTAGAATTGAAGTGACCGTTATCCAACTGAATGAAATGGTTTTTATTTCTATAAAAACAGCAAAATGGCCATAGATAAATGTGGTCCATAGATAGCGGTAGCATCTTCAATAATAATTTCACCCTCACACTTAAACAGCTTTTCACCTCGACAAGAAATCTCATCATATTTTAATCTTGCAAAATCTCATGGCACGAGATCTTGTCACACTCCTACTTTCCTGTGGTGTTTTATAACGAGGGGGCAGTCGTGGCCTAATGGTTAGAGAGTTGGACTTGTAACACAAAGGTTGCGGGTTCAAGTCTCGGTACCAGAAGGGATTTTAGGTGGGGGGGGGAGTGAATGACCAGCGCTTTCTTCCACCCTCAATAATGAGGTGAGACCCTTGAGCAAGGCACCGAACCCCGTGTTAAACATTGCAGAACAAAACGTTCAGGTACTGTCATGTAATGTAAATTACACACACCCATATCTAAAACACAACTTTTGAAGTTATGTTTGTTTTTTTAAAATGCATGTTTCTAATAAGTAACTACATAAGAAAGTTTGGGGTGTGAGTGTGTGCAGTTTACGTTGTAGAACATAACATTCAATTATCATCAAGTTATGTTTTCCACAGACCATATTTTATTCATAAATTGAACCCTCCCACCATTATAAAACCTCATAGGAATATCTCATAGAGGGGACCCATGGTGAATTGGTCTTCCGGGTTTTGACGTCATCCCTGCAGAACTCTATTAATGTTTGACATACTTGAGTATCTGCAGTTTATAGGTTGGATCCTCCAGTTTGTGGTTGAGTAGCTTGACTCCTGAATCTCCCGGGTGATTGTAGCTTAGATCCAGCTCTCTCAGGTGTGAGGGGTTTGAACTCAGAGCTGAAGACATATGACCACAGCCTTCCTCTGTCACCATACAGCCAGACAACCTACAGGTGGATCAAAACAGTTTCAACAACACATCAACACTCACCAGTAGAGAGAATATCATTCATATTGTGAATTTATAAGAGTTCTCTTTATATGTTAGATGACATCAGCAATAATGCAACCTAATAAAATATATCAACAGTAATGTAATAATAAACATACTTCAGAAATGTAGTCTTACGTGCAGTCCTCCACTGGTTCACATTTACATTTCTATAAAAGATGGTGTTTCTCTTTGTTTCACTGTGATATCTTATTAGTTGAGTTGATTTTAAATGTTAGTAAAATGGGATCTGGTGCAACTTTACCACTTCACAAGGTGTGTAGAAACAAACTGTTCAAAAAATTTAAAAAAGAATCCAGCACCACTTGTGATGAAGGGAGCTTTAATGGTCTGCAACATACTAAAATCTTGTCTACACTGGCACAAAAAAAAAAATCAGATTATTATTTTTTTTAATTCACATCTGACACAGATTGGAATTTGTTGCACTCATGTAAACTCAAAAATCTGCACGAGATCTGATTTTTGTTATTTTTTGCATCCATTCACAGCAACTTCAAAATGTGATTTTAAATCGGATACATATCCAATATGTATACATCTGATCTGTGTCTAAACACATATATTTTATTCTCTTTGGAATTCTAAGTCACAACAAGGCAAGGTTTGCCCACAAAAATAGCGTTTTGATGTTGTATGCCTGTATGCATTCACACTAGAAGCTTTCTTAATTGAGGTGGAAACTTTATATGTTGGTAATAGACTGCACACACACACAAACATTCAGGGGCATAGAAACTTGATTTCAACCTCTGCCCTGTGAATTGTATAAATAAAACAGCCTTACTACAGAAATCTTAAATAATATTTCTCAGCAATGAGGTGATTTTGTATTTAAACTCACAGTTTCACTATTACATAGACACTGTACAGACACAGGTAATTTACACTCACAATCTCTCTCTCTCTCATTAATTCATTTGAATGCATTCAAATAAATAAAATCTCTGTTGTTCCCTGTTGAAAAAAACAGCATATGCTTGGTTAGATATGTTTTGACACTGGGATGCTGGTTTAAGCTGGTCCTTTGCTGGTTTATGCTGGTCCTTTGCTGGTTTAAACTGGTCCTTTGCTGGTTTAAGCTGGTCCTTTGCTGGTTTATGCTGGTCCTTTGCCAGCACAGGACCAGCATAAACCAGCAAAAGGACCAGCATAAACCAGCAAAGGACCAGCTTAAACCAGCAAAGGACCAGTTTAAACCAGCAAAGGACCAGCATAAACCAGCAAAGGACCAGCTTAAACCAGCATCCCAGTGTCAAAACATACCTAACCAGCATATGCTGGTTTTTTCATCATAACAATTTGCATACCACCACTAAGTTCGCATTATCAACAAGCCACTCTCTGTCCAGACAGGTGGAGTGTTTGTTGTTGCTGGAGATTTAAATCAAGCCAACCTTAACCTCTAGGGTTCGATGGCCATGCAGGCATGACCACCTAGCTTTTATTTTCAGTGAGAAAGAGATTAAAATAATCTATATATACTCTTACTATCACTCTCTGTTGTTTAAACTGCTAAAATATAACATAATTCTCACCATATTTCTGAAATTATCTATCAAACTAATTTGACATCATTCGCTTTTTAATATAAACCGCTAACGCAGCACGTTAGCATTCTGTTAGCCTGTTAGCTTGTCATTTGCATTTCCATTTGTGTTTCTTTTCTCTCTGTCTCGCTGCGTTTCTTTTCTCTCTCGCTCCGTTTTTCCCGAGTTCATCAAACAACTGTGGTAAGTTGGAATCATTTAACAAACACAGTGAGTAATGGCTACTTCTCCTGCTTGCCACATGTATAGTTTAGCTTTCTCTGTCAGCAGCGAGAGATTCACATGTGATAAATGTAGGGAAATAGTTAGGCTGACAGAGAACATTTCAGAACTGGTCACGCATCCAAAATTGAATTGAGGACAGTAAGAATGAGAGGGCCTTAAATAAGGCTTTGTATGCGACTAGCTCAGGGAGTCCTGTACATTGTTCGGTTCCGGTTACAGAGCCTCTGCAGCAGGGCAACTGGGTGACTGTGAGGTGGTATAGTCACGGGTCAAAACACCTCTCTTTCATTCCGATCAAAACATCAAACAGGTTCTCCCCACTCAGTGATGCACCCGCTGAGAAACCTGATCAAAGTGCTCTAGTTATTGGCGATTCTATTGTACGGAACGAGAAAATAGAGACAACAGCCACCATAGTCCAATGCCTACCGGGAGCAAGAGATCTTGGCAAATTTAAATGTTCGATTTTGCCAGTCAGATATCACTAAAAATAACATTAAAGAGGTGTGTGAACTTGCAAGTATGATGTCAGACACTGTAATATGCTTCGGTCCCCTCCCTGCTTACTGTGGTGATGAGATACATAGCAGACTGTCGTCACTCAATGGCTGGATGTCTAAGTGGTGCCCGCAGAATAACATGGGTTTCATAGACAATTGGAGGAGTTTTTGGGGCAGACCTGACCTGTTGAAAAGAGATGGTCTTCATCCCTCCTGAGGTGGTGCCGCTCTTCTCTCTAGAAATATGGCACATAGTCTTAGAGTTTATACTTGACTAACTGGGGCCCAGGTCAGGTTTGATAATGACTGTGTGGAGACGTGCTGAAATTGCATTTGGTCTCATACTGTATCGCATACCTTGTCAGTGTTGTGCGCTTTGCTTGGCCATTTGTGTGATAAACAGGAAAGTGTGTTCAAGCGCCAGCAAAACACAGTGTAAAGATATACTCTTTGAGAGAAGCAGTCAATCAGCAGAAGTTAAAAGCAGCTCGTAAGTGTATATATTTCTTGTCTCAGGCTACGTCCACATGAAGCCAGTGCTTTCCCTATCTGATCTTTTTTTCCCCTCGTCTGAAGAAATATCTGCGTCCACACGAAACCGACACAAAACGATGAAGACCGAAGAGTGTAAAGACCATCGACTCTACCGTTCGACTCCACAGTGTAGGGACACCGGCAAGGGACATAAGTATCGCTTTTGAAATCATTCTCTTTCTTACTACATGTTTCCCTTCTGTTTTCAGTTTGTTTATAACCAATTCTTACCATGTGTTTCCAGATCCCTACTATCACTACCACTCGCAAACCACGCATCACACACGGTAGGCAGCGCAATCCTAACAACCTGTGCACTTTGCCTATGTTTACTAATACACTACTTTCTTTTTCTATTGGTCTCTGGAATTACCAGTCTGCTGTAAACAAAGCAGATTTTATTACTTCTAATACAAGTCATTCAAGACTAAACCTCATGGCCCTGACAGAGACGTGGATCAAACCAGAGGACAATGCTACACCTGCACAGCGCAATCCTAACAACCTGTGCACTTTGCCTATGTTTACTAATACACTACTTTCTTTTTCTATTGGTCTCTGGAATTACCAGTCTATTGTAAACAAAGCAGATTTTATTACTTCTATTACCAGTCATTCAAGATCTCATGGCCCTGACAGAGACGTGGATCAAACCAGAGGGCAATGCTACACCTGCAGCACTCTCCACTAATTTCTCTTTTTCCCACTCCCCCGTCTGACTGGAAGAGGTGGAGGTACTGGTCTGCTTATCTCTAATGATTGGAAATGTAATCCTTTA